ATGCTTTGCCCAGTTTCTTACTGTCTTGTCTTAAAGTTGTAAGAGTTCTTTATATGACCTGGATACCCCCTTGTCGGATATGTGATCTTAACATATTTCATCCCATTATGTGAGATTTTCACACTACTCTTTGAGATAAAAAAATTTTTTTTCTAAAAATAATGTTGGCTAGGTATTGTGGCACACATCTTTAATCCCAGCAGTCAGGAGACAGAAGCAGGTGGATCTCTGTGAGTTCAAGGCCAACCTGGACTACACAGTGAGACCCTGTCTCAGATAAACAAAAAAAAATTGAATTTTGATGAGTGCATTTTGTCTACTTTGCTGTTCATTGATGTTTCTGACATTTCTAAAAATGCTTTGTTTCCTTTAAAAATCTCAGTTTTCCTTCTTCCCCTTTGGTTTATGTTCTTTTGAGTTAGTTTTTGTCTTTCGCTGCAGTGACTGTCCATTCAGTTTTCTCAAGTTTTGTTGTGACATTTTGTCGAAACCAGTTGCCTACAGTTCTGTGGATTTATTTCTGGACTCAGGGTTTTATTCCATTCATCTGCGTCCTTGGTCAGCATTGCATTGTGTCCATGGTTGTAGCTTTGTAGCAGGCTTTGAAATCAGGAGTTGTCAGTTCTCTTCATTTGTTCTTTTTTAAAATGTTTCAGCCATTTGGGGTCCAGTCAGGTGCCACTTGAATTTTAGAGGAAGCATTTCCTGTTCTGTAAGCAACGCCACTGGGATTTTGATAGGGATTATGTGACTTTTGGGTCATTTGGGGACACATGACCCGTTTACAGCAGTGTCTTTGGTCTGTGATGTTTCCATTCATTTACATCTTTAACTTCTTTCAACAATGTTTACAGTTTTCAGTGGACAAATCTGCCACCTCTTTTGTTAAATTTATCATTAAATATTTGAGTCTTTTTATTGTATTTTTAAAAAATATTTTATTTGTTATTTTTATTTTATGTGTATGAGTGTTAGGCCTGCATCTAAGTAAGTGCACCCATGTCATGCAATGCCCGAGGCTGTAGGATCCCCTGGAACTGGAGTTATGGACAGTTGTTAGCTGTCATGTGGGTGCTGGGATTGTATTTTAAATGGTATTGTTTTCTTAAATTCTTTTTTATATTATTCACTGCTAGCTGCTAGGAATATAACTTTCATATATTTTCATTTTTTATTAATAATAACATAAAACCATAAAATTCCTGCATATTGGAGGGTACTGTGCCATTTCAGTATGTTATGTATTGGGAATCTCATTCTCTATATAAAAGATCATGTCTGAGCCAGGCATGGTGGTGCATCCCTGTAATCCTCGCACTTGGGAGATGGAGGCAGGAGGATCAGAAGTTCAGGGTCATCCTCAGATACGTGGCAAGTCGAAGGCTAGCCTGGGCTGAGATGCTGTCTCACAAAATAAACAGAACATGTCATTTGTAAGTGAAGAAACTTTTCCTTCTCCCTCCAATTTAGATGTTTTTCCTTTTCTTCCTGTTAGATATACATACCATGTCTTGGTCTTGTTCCTGATCTGAGGGAAAAGGCTTCAGCTTTTCACTGTTGAGTACAATGTTAGCTCTAAGTTTTTCATAAACACCCTTCAACAAGTTGAAGAAATTCCTAATTTGTAAATTTATCAAATGTGTTTGTCAGGGCAGATTGTTTGATTTTCTTAAAAGCCTTTTCTACAGCAACTGAGATGAGTCTTTTGTTCTTTTCTTAATTATGATAATGTGGTCCCTGATAACATTTGATGGACTCTGTTGAGTCATCCTTGCATTTGGTCATTGAGAGTAGAATCTAGGAGTCCATTAGTTGAATAGGCTCAAAATGGGTTATTTTAAGGTTTTTCACTACTTCTGAGGGTATCTAAATGTATCCTAAATACCAATTCAAGAGATGTATTTTTCTTCATCTTTCTATCTAAGAGTCTCAAAGACTGACAAGACAACATGGGAGATATGCTGGGCCAAAACTTACTTGAGCTGGGGCTTTTAAATTATATTTATTTATTGGGAGGGGGGATACAGGTATGCCACAGCATACATGTGGAGGACATTTTGTGCTAGTTGTTTTTTCCTTTCACCATGTAGATCCTAGAGATTAGACTGGGGTCATCAGGCTTGACAAGTGCCTGTACCCAGTGGTCCGTCTCACCAGCCCTAGGCCCGTTTGCTGTGGGCTTTAGTCACAGGGTATTGTCCATGGGCAATGATGGAAGAAATAGAGAGGAGCATAGGAACAGATGGATATGTAAGCACAGATTATGTAGAGATTATACAACGAGACTTAGAGTTTGGCCTGGAATTCCTGTCTTGGTTCACTCTTTGGCCTATTTTTCTTCATATGATGATATAGTGTTACTCTTTTATAAAACAGGGTTTGTAGAGCTAGATGATATCTCATTAAAGAATAGAAAAGAGTCAGTGTTAAAGGTAGCTCTCCCTAAATTAGTGTATTTGTTGTTGATGAAAAATCCAGCCAAATGCTCACTGTCATCCCCTCACCTTTTTAATGTTGATGAGCAAAAACAGATAATAACATTCTGATGATAAAAATTTTTTCAGAAGCTTCTGAGTTGGCACACCAAGCCATCTTACATCCTCTGCATTATTCACTTCAGCAGAAAGGAGAGACTAATAACAATTAAAGGTGTGCTTCTACACTGGGTGTGGCCATCAGCCGTCTGGAGGCTGAGGCAGGCAGATCTCTGTGAGATAGAGGCCAGCCTGGTCTACTTAGTGAGTTCCAGGCAGGCTGGGGCTAGGGTGACCCTGTCCAAAAAAAAAAAAAGTATGATTCACACACACACACACAAAATGTATGATTCAGAGGAAGACTTGAGAGCCCAAATACTTCTCATGTCATTGTCATGAAAAACTGATTGTGGAATTGATTGCATACATGTTACATGTGAGTGAGTTAATTGCAAGTTAGGAGGGAAAATACGTGCATACAAACATGTATGTATCACCTCCTAATGGACTGTTAATAGGTTTATTAGAATACTTTTATTCATTCTTTGAAATTTCATATATGTGTACAGTGTATCCCGATGATATCCATCCCAACTTCTCTCATCTTTTACAAAAAAATTAAACAAGAGCTAATTAGAAGAAATACAGATCAATGCACATGTAAAGTCTTTGATGGAAAAAGATTTTCTTATAAGCTGAAGACAGAAAAGCAAGTACAGTACATGCCTGTAATCCAAGCACTTGGAAGGCTGAGACAGGAGGATCACCCAGGTTTGAGACCAGCCTGGTCTTCATGGCATGTTCTAGGCGCATCCGGGTTACAAAGTGAGACCCTCTCTCAAAAAATTAATAGATAAAAATAAGCAAAGTAGAAGCCAGAGAGATGGCTCAGCGTTTAAGAACACTGGTTGTTCTTGCAGAAGACCTGGGTTTGAATCCCAGCACCCACATGGCAGCTAACAACTGTCCGTAACTCCAGTCCCAGGGGATCCGGCAGCCTCTTCTGACCTCCACGGGGATTGCAAGACATGGGTGCACTTATCTACATGCAGGCAATACAAATAAAATAAAAATAATAAATGAGTTTTTTAATTCTAAAAAAAAGCAAATAGGGTGTTTTAAACTTGGATTTTCATTGTCTCATGTACAAAGTTAAGTTTTTTGTTACAGTTCTTAAAATCAACAATTTCCTTAGTAGCTTGGGATGGCAGCACATGCCTATAATCTGAGCACTTAGGAGGCTGAGGCAGGAGAATTACAAATTTGAGGCCTTCCTGAGCTACCGTAGTAAGACCTTGACCCCTGCCCCACCTCAAAAAAGGAAAATACGTATTTCATTAGTCCTTTTAAAGAGATTTTTAGTATTTTTAAATCTATATGTAATTTGTGGAAGTAGATAGTTATTTCATATACATATACTATATATTTGAGTATGTGTAGGTATGTGTGTAGATATCTGATACATACTTGCTACACATGCACACACACCCGTATCAGAAACACCACTAGGCTAATGTAATAAGCAAAGCCACGAAAGGACCCAAGCTGTTGGAGTAACTGCTCCATTTCCTTTTGCTAGAGGGAAATGGAAACTCCCAATTGCCCAGGAACTATACTACCAGTGCCTTAGGACATTGAGGTGGCCAGGCATGCACCTGGCTTTGCTGACCACCATGGGGTAGATGGGCAGTGCACTTTCACTCCAGAATGCATGAATGACAGGCTGTGTTGCCTGTGTTATGAAGCTGATAGAGTGTAAAATCCCCATAGCTCTCTGCATCCCAGCACTACCGCGTCTACAGGAAAGTGTAGACTACACAATA